CACGAGGATATAAGCTCTCAAGCATTTACTTCTGAGATCTCCCACAACCATTGGCCAAATGTGTCCCCACTCTGTGCATCTTAATGCTCCCTTTCCCTCCCCGTACCTCTTTTCTCCCACTCAAGATGGTGGCAACGTGGGAGTTTAAAAAAAAAATCAAACACATTGCAAGGCAGACATGTTTACTGTAGTGGCAGAGGCAGAAAGAGAAAAAGTTCTTTGGCTCTCACAATCTGATCAGTACCCTAAGTTTTTAGTTCCCTTTACTTTTCATGCATGGTAAATTGCCAAGACTAGGCTACAGAGACATTTCAAAAGGCATAGCGAATAGAAGGCATTCATGGATATTTGTAATCACACCCTCAGCATTGTCAATGCCTGGGCCAGTGACTGCAGAAGTCTATGTTGCCATGCACTTTGTGCTGATCTGCAGGAGTTATAAAAAAAGAACTTCAGACTACGATATTGCTCTATTTTAGCATGCACATTGCAAGGCAATGTAGCTTTCTCAGGGCTGCCCACGGAGCAGTGGTTCCTAAACTTTAACAACTTGTGAACCCCTTTCACTAAAATGTCAAGTCTCACAAACCGTCTCCTAAAAAATGAATATTTCCAGGGATTTTCTCCTTTACCCGAGGATAAAGTATAAAAGCAGTGATCTTGGAAATAAATTTTATGACATGCTTATTACACACTATTATTAATTATTATTTATCATTACAGTATTTTTATTACATTGTGAAAATGGTAACACTTTCATAGCTTGTATCACTTTGAATAAGCCTGTTATAAGACAAGGCTCCTATGATCAAGGAGTATCAGATGTGAAACAGCATGAAGGTATTTAAGAAGCCAACTCACAGAGTTCCTCCTACACAAGCATTCAGGTCTTGAGCAGTCCAGGCAAACAACGCACGTTACAACAAAGCTTAAACTTGTTCTTCATAATAATTTTAAGAACAATACTAGCTGCCTATTTAATTTTAAAAACAGCAAAAAATATCCATCTCCCTTTCCATTTCTTATAAGGAGTCTTGAAGTTTAAATCTCCTCAGTGTGATAGATAGGCTTGCTTTGATATGCTTAACTCTTAGAAGTCCAGGGGCTCTGGGATGCTGGCCCCGTACTGCCCAGGGTCCCTAGGGACAGCTCTATCCGCCATTAGGGAATTTTTTCCCCAAGAACCCTGTAGACGAGTGGACTCACCCCTGCAGCACCTCCTGCTGGTGACTTCTGGGAATTGGCTCGTTCCAGCTGCGGAGCGCCCTCTTCAGACTGGTGGTCTGCCTGTCCTCTGGCCCCGTGTCTCCCCCGGACCCTGGTGCCCTTTTACCTGGGGTGCTGCCCACTGGCAGTAACCCTTCAGTCTTAGGGTCTCCCCTCCCCAGGGAACCCTCACCAACTATTCCCACCTCACCTCAGTATAAGGCTACTGCCAGTCATTGTCTAGCCCCAGGCCCTGGGGCAGACTGCAGTATCAGCCTACTCATCACTGGGAAGGTTGGGTTTGGACCTGCTGCCTTGGCCTACCCCTGGGCTGCCCTCTGCAACCCCCACTACCTTTTAGCGCAATGCTAGGCCGCTGCCTGGGGCTTTCCAGGCTGGAGCTCCCCAGCTCCTCTGCCTTTCCCCAGCCCTGCTCCACTCAGGTACCCTGTCTCTAGATCCCTGCAGCCAGGCCCTTCTCTCTCTGAACGCAGAGAGAAACTTCTTCTGGGCCTCTGGCTCACAGCCTTTTATAGGGGCCAGCAGGGCCTGATTGAGGCATAGCCCAGCTGTGGCTACTTCCCCAATCAGCCCAGCTTTTTCCTGCCACAGCCCTCTCCCTGGCTGTTTTAAGCCCTTCAGGGCAGGAGCAGGGTAACCACCCCACTACAAACCCCTTGTAACATTTCGCAAACCCCCAGGGGTTCACGAACCACAGTTTGGGAACCACTGCCATAAAGGTTGTGGTTTCCTTTCACTCCTCCAACTGGAGGGGCACCGTCCTGGTGAATAGCAGTGCTGCATATCTTCCCAATGCCTTTTTTAACAAGACTTTCCCTTCCTTTTGGCGCTATGCTTCGGGGCAATATCCTTCAACGTTACGACAGCCTGCAGAGTGCGTGTGCAATTATTAATCTGCCCCCTGCTGCCCACCCAACCCTTACCCATCCCCCAGGCAACTACCAACCCAGCATTGGTCCAGGGGTCATATACAAGGGGGTAGTAAGGTGGGAAATGTCTGACCATCTCCAAGCTCACCCTACACTGGCAAGAGCACATGGGCATGGCATCCCAAACTTCAGGAAAAAGCAACACTTCATCATTATTGACATGGAGACTAGAACTGGGGCTATCACTATCTGAGCTCTTTCGCCAGCCCCCCCGCACTTGACCTGCCATGGCCTCCATTGACAGGAGTGCTATCATTTTCTGAACAGCTGGCACATCTCTGGTGGAAGAGGACAAGGGAGAACAATGTTCAGCAACCTCAAGGCTGCGTCCCAGCAGAGGGAGAAGATGATGGAAGAGTGGCAGGAAGGTTTCATTCCACATGATACAAAGGCAAGCAGGAAGGAGAGGGGACAGTCGGAGAGGCTGTTAAGGGTGCGCACTGACAGAGAAAAGGACATGCTGGCACAACTGCTGGAGATGATGCAGAGGCAAACAGCCTTGCTGGAGAACTTTGTGGCTCTCTGTTCACAGCCAGCACCAACTTGCCATGTCCTGAAGCCCTTTGAGAGCACTGCATGCTGGGAGCACCCCTTTACTTCACCAGCTACAAGGGGCAGGCTCTTCCCTCCCCATTCGACACCCTAAACCATGGAGAACAGACTGCACTGTGTTGTGACCTCCTCAGCACAAACATGGGTGCACTCAGCACTTCAGACATGTCTGTCACCGTTCCACTGGTTGTAAGTGTGCACTGTGCTAGGTTCCATAAAGCTTTAGATTACGTACACCTTGTTTTATTAGTTATTTACAACTCAGCTGATAAATGTCATAAAACTGGTACATGAAGCTGAACAACAACCTTCAACATAGGTACATTTTTCACCACTAGCCCCCAGCCTCAAAGTAGGAGCACAACTCATCCCTGACCCTGTGTCCCTGACCAGTTGCAGCAGTTAGCAGAGAACACTCATGAAAGCCTCTTCCCCTCTGCCTCCCACCCCACAGTAAGGCTCTGTCCCTTGTTCTCACCGAGGTTGTGCAAACCACAGCAAGCACTTAGTACAAGAGGCCAGACATTGCTCAGGGGCGTCCAGCCTTGTCATGACAGAGGCACCTCAAGCGTCCCTTCTGTCTTCCGAATGCATGTTCCGCTGTTGTTCTGCAGCTGCTCAGAGTGTAGTTAAAGAGCTAAGTGTCCAGGGAAACAGTGAGTAAGTTGGGCCTCCCAGAACCACAGTAGGAATCACAGCGCCACTGATGTCCACACTGGTCCTGGGAGCAAAAGTTCCATTTCTCATTGCAGAAAACAGGCCAGAGTTTCTAAAGTTCCTGGCATCATTAACCTTTCCAGACCATCCCACATTCATATGGGTGAACCAACCGGCCTTGCGGCACCTTGGAGAAATACCTCTTTCTGTTGATTAACTCCAACACCTGGTGTGACGGGCATATAACAGGCACATGGGTCCCATCTGTGGCCTCCACACAACCGTGCAAATTCATCAATAACCTTTTTGTGCATTGCCAAGGTTTCTGACCCAAGGCAGCAGCCCTCACTTGACAGCAGTGCACATCTCTATGACAACAGCCCTGACTATGGATCTACCCACATGAGATGGGTTAGCGACAGACTGGTAGCAATCGGGGACAGTGAGCTTCCAGATGGTGATGGCCACTCGGAAGGGAGTTTTCCTGTTAGGGTGCTGCTGCTGCCGCTGCTTTGGGGTGAGCTCCACACAGGTTTCTATGAAAGTGGCTTTTGTCATCTCAAAGTTCTGCTGCCACTGCTGATTAGCCCTGGCCTGCAGCACTAGCCCGTCCCACCACTCACGGTAGTTAGCCGAGCCTAGAAGCAGCGCTCCACCGAGTGACACTGTTTGAGGAAAAAGTTCATCCCCAAGTAGCTGCTCGATTTCAGCCTCCTGCTCCTCCCCTACCTGAATCTCTGTTGCACTGCTGTGCATCCAACTGGGCATTTGCCAATACTGGGAATCAGCTTATTTGTATTAATGGCTGTCAGGATCAGGGTCCTCTCTGCTGTGGTCCCCTCAGCTGCCTGACAGCACTTTGAAAATGATGGTGCTCACAAAAACCAGAAGAATTATGGGATGTCCAGGGAGGAATCATGGGAATTTGTGATTTGACCAACCCACTCTAAGTCCCAGAATTCCAGTGGTGTCTAGTAGGTTCCCACAATGCACTGCAAGAAAAATCCCAGAATTCATAAAATCTAGTGGCATAACATTGCACCATGGGCTGTCTTCCCAGAACATCCTGTGCTTATTTCATAAAAGCACATGGCTGTGTGGACGCAATGATTCAAAGGGGAAGTAGCATAAGCTGGCTCAAAGCAGGGCGGACACACTCCTTCAGAATAGTTATATCTGAATAGTTTAAGCAGAAAAAAAATAAGAAAACTGAAACCAAAATCATTGCAGCCGAGATGGAACCATGATTCTGCTTATCCAGCCAATAATACAGACAAGCATGCTGTGGGGAAGCCTGAGCTGGGAATATGATGCTGTACCTGCCCTGCACACTGGTTTGTTACCGGGAACCAGCACCCCTGCTGTTTGGGAGACTGAACTGAGCCTGCAGTACCCTTTCTGTCTGCTCCATGACCTTTCCTTAGCCTTTTCAGGCCCATCTCGAGTCCTTTCTGGTTGAGTTTTGACTCTGTCCCTAGTTAATCTCTGACAGTGCCCTTTTCCCCCCCAACCCCACATTTTTTGCGTGTTTGCCATTCAGCAAGTTCACACAGTGATAAATAATTAACTAGCATAGCCATTTCTCAATGCGTTATTTAAATACTCTACGGTTCCTTACTATAAGGCTGTGGAACATACACACAGGGCATTTGCAAAAGGGCAGAACAAGTCTCAGCCTTGAGCTGAATGCATAGAAATTAACCCAGTGGCTTTAGGTAAGAGTGGACGCAAACCTTTCCCTGGTGTAATGAGCCCCCTTTGATCCAACAGGCCTGAGGATTAGCTTGGTGTCCATTCAGGCCCTCTCTCAGAAATCAGACACAGCGGTAAGTCTGGCAAACTCTCCAGAGCAATGCCACTGGGGTGACAGACCCTGGAAAGCTTGTTCTTAGTGGCGAGGTATGTGAAGAGACAGAGTTGACTCACAGCCCCACTCTTGCTCCCATTCCACACTGGCCAAGCGGGTTGAGGTTCTGGCCATAGCTTGCACCATAGGAATGGTATTGCAATTTACACTGCAGGAAGTGGAGAATAACTGATGTGGAAGGGTTCAGCACTGAAGAGGCCCCAGAATGCTGAGAACAGCTGATGATGGATATTGAAGAACACCCCTGCCTGGTAGCAGCTGGCCGGGATAGATGGGAAGGAGTAACGCTGATGGTGCCATTCATTGTATCACAGTGGGCTAGGAAGAGATAATAGATGAGAGAAATTCTCCCTGCAGTATTTTCCTCCCTTTAGCAAGGTAAGCATGATGACGCAATTACATAATTAATAGCAACTGAATCATGTTTATACAGTGTTATTTAAATGCCAAGGATTATTAAACCAAAATTGGAAGACAACTCAGGATTCCCTTGTGCCCCAACTAGGCAATGCTTAAACTGCAGTGTGGCTTCTGGACAGCTGTGCTTCCTCTCGTGACAGAATTCCCAAAAATCACAAGTGTAAATTTTTGATGAACATTTTTTCCTGATTGTTTTCCAGTGAACGTTTTTCAGCTTCCTCAAGAGCGAGGGGAAATTCTAGCAAAGCCTAGCAGTTTTGCATGTTAAATCGTACAAGGATTTTCAGACACTAACTAATATGTACACGGGTTATGGAGGTATATATTCAGCACACTACGTGTAGGGGTTATGTATAAAATTCCTATTTGTGGGTGTGTAGCGGGGTGGTTACCCGCTCCTTCCCTGAGGGGTTTGGAACAGCCCTGGGAGAAAGCTGGGGCAGGGAAGCAGCTACTGGGCTGACTGGGGAAGTAGCTGCACCTGGGCCACGCCCCAATCTGAGCCCAGCTGGCCTTATAAAGAGGCTGGGAGCCAGGAGCTCAGAGACTCTCTCTCTCTCCACTTAGAGAGAGAAGGGCCTGGCTGCAGGGTGCTAGACACAGGGTACCTGAGTGGAGCAGGGCTGGAGAAAGGCTGAGGAGCTGGAAAGCCCCAGGCTGCGGCCTAGAAGGCTAAGGGGTACTGGGGGTTGTAGAGGGCAGCCCAGGGCTAGGCCAAGGCAGCAGGTCCAAACCCAACCTTGCCGATGATGAGTGGCCTATACTGCAGTCTGCCCCAGGGAGTGGGGGCTAGTTGGTGACTGGCAGTGGCCTTATCCTGAGGTGAGGTGGGGTTAGTGGGTGGGGACTCCCCTAGGAGGGGAGACCCAGTGAGTGTGGGTACTGCCAGGGGGCAGCACCCAGAGCAAGGGGCACCAGGGTCCTGGGAGGGACACGGGGGCCAGTGCGAAGGACAAGGCGGATCACTGGCCTGCAGAGGGCGCTCCGGGCTGGACAGAGCTGATTCCCCAGACGACCAGCAGGAGATGCCACAGGGGTGAGTCCGACCTTTACAAAGTGGTGGAGAATGCGGGCATAAGCAGTCCGCCCCTGATACAAGGGGCAGGGGGAGGACAGTGGGACTATTTCCCAGACTGGAGAAGGTGGAGAAACTGAGGCAGGGGATGATGGACCCTGGGTACGTGGGGGTTTATTATGCAGAGGCCCCAGGTACCATTCCTGGGTGGGGCCCGGAGGCAGTGCCCCGGAGGAAAGGGGCTGAAGAGCAGCTGAGATTCTGGGAGACCCAACAGGAACTAAGGGAGGTGCTATGGGCCCTCCATGAGCAGGTCGGCCGGCTGGCAGAAGAACAGTGGTCCCTGCAGAAACTCCTTGGGAAGGAGTTAGCAAGAAACCGCGGAGGGTGGGAGCTGCGGAGCACCAAGAGCAGGAGGCCTGTAGGAGGGCGTAGGGCTTGCTACGCCTGCGGCATGAGAGGACACATAAGATGGGACAGTCCCTACGGGGCTGGAGGCAGGGGACCTCACCCCGAGAAGAGTCAGTGCCCGATCCCTCAAGTAGGCCACGGGGGGAGGGAACCTCAGCGGCTGAGGGCATGTTGGGCCTGTGGGTGCAGGGGGCACCTGGAGCGGGAGTGCCCTGGCCCCAGGAATACAGCCCAGGGCAACCCAAGGAGGGTTGGCCCAGTGAAGGACAAAAGAAAAATACCGAGGCCCGGGGCAGCACGGAGGCAGGATGCCTGCTGGGGCTGTAGGGAGCCCGGGCATATAAGGAGGCACTGCCCCCTCAGAAGAAGTGAGGAGAGGCCAGAGGAGGTGCCTGTGAGGCCAGAAGGGCCAAAACTGCTGGAGGCGGTGACCGGGATGGAGGGATCCCTGCAGGAGGCAGGAACCCAGACCGACCCGGGGTTTATCGCCGATGATGAGACCCAGACCGAGTGGGCCCAGGAAGAAGCTGGGACCCAAGTGGTCCACGATCAGGCCACCAAATGGACCTGGGGCGGGGGGTTCAGGAAGATGGCCTGGGGGACCAGGACCTGCGGACGCGGCTAGAGGCCATGGAGCAGGCCCGGCAGATGGCTGAGGCGGGGCTCCAAAAAGCCCGCCAGGAGAGGGAAGACCTGGCCTTCAAGCTGAAAGACAGTGAGGAGAAGCAGGCGCAGCTGGCGGGACACCTCCGGGCCGCACAGGCCAGAAGGCCCCTTGATTCCCCGGGGTGGGGGTTTTGAGGGGGGAGGTGTGTAGCGGGGTGGTTACCCACCCCTGCCCTGAGGGGTTTGAAACAGCCCTGGGAGAAAGCTGGGACAGGGAAGCAGCTACTGGGCTGATTGGGGAAGTAGCTGCACCTGTGCCACGCCCCAATCTGAGCCCAGCTGGCCTGTATAAAGAGGCTGGGAGCCAGGAGCTCAGAGACTCTCTCTCTCCCTCTCTCCACTTAGAGAGAGAAGGGCCTGGCTGCAGGGTGCTAGACACAGGGTACCTGAATGGAGCAGGGCTGGGGACTGGCAGTGGCCTTATCCTGAGGCGAGGTGGGGTTAGTGGGTGGGGGCTCCCCTAGGAGGGGAGACCCAGTGAGTGTGGGTACTGCCAGGGGGCAGCACCCAGAGCAAGGGGCACTGGGGTCCTTGGAGGGACACGGGGGCCAGTGCGAAGGACAAGGTGGATCACCGGCCTGCAGAGGGCGCTCTGGGCTGGACAGAGCTGATTCCCCAGACGACCAGCAGGAGGCGCCGCAGGGGTGAGTCCGACCTTTACAGGGTGCTAGTCACGCTCTGTGCAGAAGGACAGCACAAGGTCTGTGTGCTACTTAAGTGCCAACCTTAGCCATTCAAAAAACATGAGTCAGCCCCCAAAAGTCATGTGTTTGTCTTAAAAATCATGAGAATTAAAACAATTTTTTTTTTTAGATTCTTTGTCTTCTTGTTTTTGAGCATTTTGCTTTCATGTTTTCAAGCATTTCTCTGCAGTTGTTTGCAGTGTTGTTGTACCGTGTTGGTCTCAGGATATGAGAGCGACAAGATGGGTGAAGTAATATCTTTTATTGGACCAGCTTCTGTTGCTGAAAGAGACAAGTTTACAAGCTTCATGGAGCTCTTATTCAGGTCTGGGAAAGGCAACAAGAACGTCATAGCTAAATACAATGTGAGAGATTATTAAACGTAAGGGTTAACACATGTTGCAGGAGACCACTTAAAATGAAGCTGGCAGTTAACACCTTTGCAATCATAGGACAGATCAGGGTTAGTATGTTACAAATTGTTGTAATGAGCCATAAAACCAGTGTCTCTGTTGCTAGACACTAAACATCATGATCTCAAAAGAGACACTGGTTTTATGGTTCATTATGACAATTTGTAACCTACTAACCCTCCTTTGTCCTATGACTGCAGAGGTGTTAACTGCCTGCTTCATTTTAAGTGGTCTCCTGCAACGTGTGTTAACTCTTATGTTTAACAATCTGTCCCATCTCCTATTTAGCTGAGACACTGATTACCCTTCCCAGACCTGAAGAACAGATCTGTGTAAGCTCGAAAGCATCTCTTTCTCCAACAGAAGCTGGTCCAATAAAAAATATACCTCACCCTCCTTGTCTCTTGAAAAATGGGAACTGAATTTTTCATATAATGACTTAAGGAACTGTGGCTTAAAGACAAGCCACCAAATATTGTGAGAGTTGGAATTTGGCAATACTACTTACATCACACTTAAGCCTTTAAGTGGTGCATTGGCCTTGTACTGGAAAGTCACCCTATGTGTGCAGAAATCCCATAAGTCGCATATCAGAATAGATTACTACCCTGCCTGTGTTCTGGCATCTTTAGCAGGTGGCTAGAATCCTGTCCCAGAGCATCTGCTGTTACCAGACAAAACATCTGTTTGAAAAGTTTCTAGGAACAAAAGTGAGCAGCACAACTGCCATTTCCTTAGAGATGCAACATGGTAGTTGCTTTTCATTCTGAAGATCTTCCTGTTTTCCCAAGTGCATTTTCTGTGTCGGGCAACTCCGATAGGGACTGACGCAATGGATGCGAAACAGTGGGTAAGACACAATATCCTGCATTGGGAGGAATTATCTTATGGGACCCAAATAGCTGGGAGCGAGACCACGATCCAAGCAGAACAGGGTATACAGTGGGAGAGCCAACCTGTGACCAGACTGGCCTTTGTCAGTGGCTTGGTTCAGGGTGTACATCCTACTGCCATGGCTTTGGTGCTCTTGGCGTTTGCTGCTCTCAGGCTGTCAGTGGCTGAACAGGTTGTAGAGGTGGCAGGCTTGGGGGAGGCAGGTGCGTATTGCAGCACTTCTCCCCCACTCCCTCTAGTGGCTGGTTGTGTAGCAGTGGCGCAGCCTGGGAGAGTTTTGTTCACCCTAATATAAAGAGGGTTTTTTCTTAAATCCCTGGGTTAGTCCAGTGTACTCTTCCAGTGAGGCTCTTCCAGGAGAGACACAGGCCTCCTATCGGGCATCAGAGTTGAAACTATCCAGAGGATGAGGACAGCAGCCTAGCATGAGCCTTGGAGACAGAATGGATCTGTTTACATTGTTGCTATAATTACCCATTGTGAATTTCTAATAAGTTAGGAATGAAACACAAGGGCATGGAGATTGTTACAACTGCCAGGCCCAGCCCACTTAGCCAACTCAGCCGGAGATGGGAATGATTCCTTCTTCTGTTAAATATTCTGTTGCTCTTTCATTGGGTCTGGTTCACTTAACGTCAGGCACTTCGACTAAGCTTTAGGTGACTGGTTCAGAGGGAATAATTCTTATTTATTTTGCCTCTGTTCAGTTTGATGAAAATTCAAGATCACGAGTTCCACACTGTGGGATAATTAAAGACTTCGGACAAGATTCACCTGTACACTCTAGTGGCTTGCACTGCTTCTATGGTGCAAAGCTCTCTCTGCCTCCCTTTTATATCCTTGGGTTGGCTGACTAAAAGTTCTCACTTGATCTGG